GCCATCTCATATCATGATATGCATGTTCCAATGCATACAAATTCACATGGACTTGCTCTAGTTGAGTACATAATATACAGCAAATTATAACATGTTGGTCGACAGGTCATGGCGTGCTCGGCAGCGTTCCAGTCTCATAAAGGTAGGGCGTTCTCTGGACCCAGGTGTTTGCTGGCAAGGATTTTATGGATCCCTGACGATCAAGGATGAAGAGACCTTCTTCTGTGCCGCTTGGAGTCGTGGATCAAGTGGAGGAGTGCCGAACATGGAGGACGTGCGTTCTCAAAAGGCGAACAGGTTTTTGTTGCTCGCCGTGAGGCCTTTCATTTATGTTTGTGTCCCGAGCGTAAAGACTTTGGCAATCCAGAAGTTTGCCATTTGCCGACAACTTGTACTTGCAGAAAAAAACATGGTTTTTGGTGCATTAGAGGGTTTGATCAATCATTTTGCCGCTATTCTCAGCGAGCTTGTGAGCTTGATTCCAGACCTCCCTTGGAAGGACAATAGACCAAAACCTGTTGGTTGGTGAAACCATGACATGAGATCCATGAGCTGAAGACCGTGTCAAAGGGTGGGAAGTGGGCGCGAGTGCTTGGGCGATGTATAAATAAAGGCGAGTTCTGGAAAAGACACTGACGGACAAATATATGAGGACCTGTCAATAGTCTTGCATTCCACTCACAATCCTTCTCCAATACCAGCAATGGTGAGAGATCAATGCCAACGACCAGGTATATGCTCACAGGGCAAACATAGATGGGGTGTCTCTAAATTCCACTACACACCGATGTCCGAGTTTGATTGCCCCTTTCATCGCGAAAGCTACACCAGGGACCAGAACTTTGCCATGGATCACCAGGGAGCCATTCCATAGATCAGCAGATTCGGTGGGGAGGACACAGATCCTCACTATTTGGTCCACTTTTGGCTTTTGGTCAGCTACTTCACCTTTTTGTGCAGGTCCTTTGCCGAGCAACGCAGCACACACTTAGTCACAGGGCTTGCAGTTTCCATAATCCACAGTGAAATGGATGTGGGAACGGAAAGGCGCAAAATCGGCTCAAGTGAAGTGTTCAACAATGTTGCGCGTGACTGCGGAAAGCTGCGGCGGCATCGCGGCAAACGCGGCGGAGGAAAATGTTTTGGGGTGTATCATGAAACAACCATAGAAGCACACCACAGCGCGGGAAGAAGTGGAGTCATATCATCCGCAGGTACGTGAGTCAAGCGTCCTTGACTCATATCACAGGAAACGTGCAGCGTCTTCGTTGGTCGCTGACTGCACGAATCCCCAGCGACCCCCTGCATTTTTCCCCAAACAGGTTTACCTGTGAGGGGTTCTTACTCCTTTTAAAGGGGCGCATGCTCGGGCCGGATGATTTTGAGTTTGTCTCCGGGCTTGTGTTCCTGGCCGCATGATTTCACCCTTGTCTCCCACTTGTCTCCCACTTGTCTCCCAGTAAGCTCTGGATGCTCTCAGTGCTCTGGCCGCATGATTTCTCAGTGCTCTGGCCGCATGATTTCAGGCTTCTCTCCCATTTGTCTCCACTTGTCTCCCAGTAAGCTCTGGATGCTCTGAGTGCTTGGCCGCAACAAGTAAGCTCTGGATGCTCTGAGTGCTCTGGCCGCATGACACTTGTCTCCCAGTAAGCTCTGGATGCTCTGAGTGCTCTGGCCGCATGATTTTATACTTGTGTCCCATTTGTTTCCCACTTGTCTCCCGTAAGCTCTGGATGCTCTGTGGCCGCATGATTTCACACTTGTCTCCCACTTGTCTCCCAGTAAGCTCTGGATGCTCTGAGTGCTCTGGCCGCATGATTTTATACTTGTGCTCTGGCCGCGTGATTTTATACTTGTCTCCCATTTGTCTCCCAGTAAGCTCTGGATGCTCTCAGTGCTCTGGCCGCATGATTTCACGCTTGTCTCCAATTTGTCTCCCACTTGTCTCCCAGCTTGTCTCCCAGTAAGCTCTGGATGCTCTCAGTGCTCTGGCCGCATGA